GGTAATGAAACATTTGCAAGAAAAGAACCAAGCTCAGAGAACCCCAAGGACTCCACAGAGAACTGTTAAGCAGACATTTCCTCCTGAAGCACCCATATAAAATGGTTGTTCTCATGGATTCATTTCTTTCTATATTCCTGATTTATCAGCACAGCAAGCATAGCTTCAATAAATTATATGTATATTCTTTCTCTAGAATAAAAAGACTATTAATCCTACTGGACAAAAATTAACCTGATCCTCATGAATATTCAGACAAAAACTTACTGTATTCCAGACAGTTCATTTTATAGAAAAGAAGCAACAGTATCAGTCAAGAAATTAAGTGGCTTTGTATCAGAAAATAAAAGTTGTCTGGGCCCAAGATAATTAAACCTTTTACTGTGGTTTCCTTTCACCCTTTTCAGTCAAATGGCAAAAAGTGAGTAAGTAGGCAATTCAGAAGACTAATGGGAACACATTTATGGTCATCACAAGTGTGAATTGCTATTCCATATTGCATATCATCCCCTGTTTAGGGAGGAAATAGTATACAAAAAATATTCATCTCTTCAAATGGAGTTTTTGCAAGCAGAATGTGACTCTTTCTGAAAAGGAACTTAAGAGTATATTCATGCATTATGCATAAAAAATAGGAGCCTAGCTGTACAGAGGTCAGATTGGGTAGAACTGTAAATCTATAAAACCTGTAAGAAAATTCAGAATATTTTCCCCAAATTATCTTATTAAATAAGATAATTTAAATTCTGCCAGCCTCAGCTTTCTGGTATTGTTGACAAACTTTATCTCATAAAGACATAAGAAAAACTCTGCTAGATCACACCAAAAACTCACCCAGCCCAACATTTTTCACAGTAACCATCTATAAGATTCTTGGGAAGACTTGAATGAGGATGCTAGGTTCCATTTTGTTTCCCAGCTGCTATTATTCAGAGGTTTGTTCCCCTGAACCTGTAATGGCAATATAATATTTCTCTTCTCTCCTTTAACCACCTTTGTTAGGCAAATCAGCAATTATTCCACAGTTTAATTGCATACTGTGTAATAAGTTCTCAGTGAAACCCTTACCACAGGAAGATGAAACTAAATATGATTGGGGCTACTGTTATATACACTACAGCAGAAATAATCATGTATTTTATTTCTTTGTAATGCTACCTCCATACAGTCACATCCCTTCCTCTGGCTGTCTTAGAGACAGAAGAACCTAGCAAAATTTCTGCAGCCACATTTTTTCTGGCCATTGCAGTCAAGCAAACTGCTGCTAGCTATATCCATGTATTGCTCAATTCACTATATTTCTCCAAATAATAAGTAATCACAGAATTTCAAAATAACATATGTGGGAAAAAAGCAACCAGGTTCCATGTATTAACTATCTATGTAAGTGGTCAAGAATTAGATCTTGATCTTGTTGTCTTTCCCCAGTGAGGGGAATATGTCACTAGTCTGAATACTTACCAAAGCACTGAAGTTTTATAGGATCATAATATGTGCCTTGTTTGCAGTAACACTCATAACCTGGCTGTGTGTTTAAACAGAAGCCATTCTTACATATTTCTTGGCCAAAGAGCTGGCATTCATCAGCATCTGAAAAAGAAACACAGACATTCTAAAATGTTATCTGTTTCATCATATAGGTGGAGTATGAATTTGCAGTCCAAATTTTCAGGTCAGATAGTGTTATTCCTCATATATAGCAACAAAAAGTAAAAGAGCAGTGTTGAACAGTACCGCCTATGATGCACCAAACAAAGTATATGACTATTCATGGAGCAACAAGTATTGTTTCTATAAAGTTAGTCTAGAATAGTTGCATTTTCTTTAGGCCAAAGTAACAAACTGGGAAGCATTTTTGTTTTTGTTTTAAAAACATCCTTTTTGCAAAGAATCAATTGCACAACCTTGTCATGGTAAGTTGCCCAACTAAAATGTTAAATCAAACAGCCAATCAGGAGCCTGTCTTTTTGTCCCAACAGCCTCGTTTGGAATGTTGGTAACTTATTGCTGCTGTTTATTTAGCATGGAAATAATATATGCTGAACAATTTATTCATCTAAGCATGTTCTGTTTTCACATTTGCAATTTCATTACACGTAGAAACCCTGTTATCATGTGAGGATTGACTTAAGCAGCAGTTTTGCTAATGCCAGTTAATGTTAATGTTTGGAAGACAATTCAATCAAATACTTCACCTTACGCTCAGCTCCCAAAATTACTTTCATGCACTCTACTAACATTGCCTTAAGGATATACCCCAATTTTATGTGCATGATCTGGCTCTGTGTTGCATCTGATATAAAATCCTCTGAGAATTAATTATTTTTTTGTGGGTCTGTTCTGGAAATTCCAGCAGTGGTGATTTCCTCCAGACAGCCATAACAATAATTATCACTGAACAGAATTCTAAAGGTACCTATAGTTCTGTTATCTGAGAGGTTTTAATGTAAGTGATAGCTGGGAATTTCTACATGCTTGTGAAAATTATCTGTAATGCCTTCCATATATGTTTGTTTTCAGCACATTGAAACAGTCTGGAAAAAGGATTAATAGGGGTTTTTATAGTAGTCTATAAAAAGGCCTATTAGGCTTATAACATTTTAGTTTTCTAAATTACTGAATACTCATTTTACGTCACACTTAAAATTTAGAAAAGTCTCCATTTTTATCCTATTTATTTTGTTATTTCTTAAACATCAACTTGCTATTAAACAAGGCAAAATAAAATTGGGTCAAATTACTCAGGTGTAAGATAGTTGTTTTGAATAGGATGATATCCATTCATATCATGGCAACATACTAAGAAAACCACGCTTTCTGTTTGCTGAATACTCTAAAGATAAAATACTAGAATACTTCTGTAGAAAGGAAGAATTGGCTTTTCTAATATTTTTAAACCATTTTTCCAGAAGTTGAGCAGTACAGTAAAAGAATCTGGATGAAAACTAGACACCCACATAATAAAGCAAAGTTTTTAAAAGATCAGATATCTGAAGGATGGCACATCTAGGATTGCTGAAAGAGAATTATGTTTGCAAAGGAAAATGAGCAGTTCCAAAGAAGAGAACCAACTATGTTCCTACAAATAAAGAAATTCAAAGGAAAACAAAAGCAAAACCAGTAATGGTATTCCTTAGTTAACTTGGTTAAGTAGTCCAACAGACACAGCTGCAAATTCTGCAGCACTGGCTCACATACATCATAGGAATTTTAAAATATTTTCAGCAGTACCAAACCAACACATTATCATTTATAATCTTACTATATTGACACTTTGGGGAATTAAAGCCTTGATGAGTTATTAATTCAAATAAGCTGCAAGGAACAATAGCTATGTTCAAGGAAACAATAGTTATGAACAAATACAAAGCAGGAATCTTACGGCAGAGTTTCCCAACTCAGGAACTTTCACATCAAATTCAAACATCATAAACATTTATAAAAGTACTGTTTTAAATACGTAAGCTCTAATTTCTCTCAGAGTCTTTGAAACACTGACAAGTCTATCTTCAAGTCTGTATCAAGGCTCACCTTTGTAACTCTGTGCACTGTCTCCATAATGTGGTTCTTCAGATGGTATGAATCCTTTCCCTTCAGGACACAGCTCAATAAATTCAGCTAGCAGGAAGATAAATCGAGAATCCATTTAGAACTATATTTGTGTATTACAATATGGAATCAATAGCAACATTTCTATAACAGGAATGTCTTAAGGGTTTTTTTAAAATACTGCATTTCAGATTTTAGATTTCTAACAGTACACAGCTATGGAAACCTGAAATAATGAGATTTCAGCTATTTTCCTCTTGGTTAGTATCCATGGCTTGTAAAACTCAACTGCATGGTTTGCCATTGGTGCAGACAGCTTAGACTCCATGACCATGACACAGATTTTTAAGATGCAAATTTGGAATCTTTATATTAAAGTGAACAGTACATGTGTAATTTTATCCTGGCTTACTATCTGAACTGTAATCAATCTAAGTTCAGTTTGGGTGACAGGGCTCAGTTTCTTCTCTTTAGCAGTTTTTTGCTGCCAAAACTTATTTATATTGAATTTATATAGCTGCCCATCTCATTTGTGACTCTGGACAGTGTACACAGTTAAAACAAAAACTAAACAATCAGTATAATGCTTAAAACCAGTTAAAAACAATTAAAAACTATAATAACAAAAAGACAGAGAAGAATATAATCAAACTTATGCCAGCCATTTAATGGGATCCTCAGGCCCGATGGCAAAACCAAGTTTTGAGGGCCTTCCAGAAGGCCAACAGAGTTGGGGCCAACTTCACCTTGGGGGGAATGATGGTCCAAAGGGTGGGTACTATGGCAGAAAAGACTCTCCTCCTGGGTCCCACCAAATCCTTGGCTGATGGGCTGAAGGGACCTGATGGGATGGGTGGATGTAATTGGGGTTATTCCTCAAATAACCTGGCCCCATGCTATGTAGGGTTTTAAAGGTCATCACCAGCACTTTGAATTGGATCTGGAAGCAAACTGGTAACCAATGCAGCTTGCGGAGCAGAGGTGTAATGCATGCCATTCTTGGAGCACACATAACTGCCTGCACTGCCACATTTTGCACCAGCTGAAGCTTCTGGATACTTTTCAAGGGCAGCCCCATGTAGAGCATGTTACAGTACAAGTAGTCCCCCGTTTAAGAATAAGTTCCATTCCCAAGGTCTATTCTTAAGCTGAATTTGTATGTACAGTAAGCCAGAACAGTATTATTGTATAAGTAGTATTGTGTAATTAACTCGAACCATTGGGTATTTAACTTGAATCATTGTGTATTTAACTCAGATTTTGCTACAATAGGCTCTGTTCTTAACTATGGGTCATCTGTAAACTGGGCATTCTTAACCTGGGGACCACCTGTAGTCCATTCCGGAGGTGACTAGGGCATGAGTGACTGAGAGTAGGGGCTCTCGATCCAGGAATGGGCGCAATTGGCACACAACATGAAGCCGTGCAACTCAAAGGAAATGCAAAAGCAGACATGAAATTTCCTTTAAAAAGGACAGATGAGCTGAACACTGCCAATTTTTCACTATGTGTTGAACTCCAGTTGGTAAGAGGAGAAAAAAATGATAAAAATTAAACTTCAAAAATCTTTTTTTGCCCTTGTAAGCAAGTTCTCCAGCCAAATATTCACTTGAATACAAGTACACTGTAAAGCAAGTTTGTTCCCACAGTCCTATGGGTTTGTCAGTTGAAGAACTGACTATGTTTTTATATACTTTTTGAGGACTATACTTGCAGTGCAATCACATTTGTTTTTTCCCAACAAGCTACATACTGGAGGAAATCAGAACTCTTTAGCTTATTGTTTCTTGCAAAACACCATTAGACTTCCTTTTAAAGGAAATACAGTAATCTTTCAATAAAATAATAAACAACCTGTGGTTATGAAAAGGAGTAAGGACATGCAATCTGTTACTGGCAGTTGTGCTCCGGGACAGAGGTTTTATACACTTGACTAATGTTAGGCAAACAGAATTACTGCCTTGCACAATAGGTAGGACAAAGAAAATTTGAACCAGTCTGTACTCTCCGTAATAGCCACATATTAATAGCCACAGAGAGAGAGAGAGAGAGAGAATGAATGAATGAATGAATGAATGAATGAATGAATGAATGAATGAATGAATGAATGAATCAATGTTAGGCAAACAGAATTACTGCCTTGCACAATACGTAGGACAAAGAAAATTTGAACCAGTCTGTACTCTCCGTAATAGCCACATATTAATAGCCACAGAGAGAGAGAGAGAGAGAGAATGAATGAATGAATGAATGAATGAATGAATGAATGAATGAATGAATTCTAGGAAACTTCTAGCACTATTCAAAAGATCAAAAATTCTTTATTTCTGGGATCTAGGTATCCCTTTAACATAGAAATGTAATAGAAAACATTATTTTCTTTTAATACTATATCATTGAATGGGGCCAATGTAGATATTTTTCATGCAATTAAAGCTTTTATTTTACAGAAAAGCTCAAACATGCCAGCTTGCTATTCACATGTCTCTTTTCCCCTCATTAATATTACCCTCAATGATCCAAGTTGTTTAGGAAAGTGTGACTGCTAAGAGCAAGAAATTTTTAGTTATGTAACCCCTGAGCCTCCTCATAATGTTAGGAGAAATAATTACCACAGAATGGAAAAGGGTAACTCACCACTTCCAAGCACAGGACAAGGGAATATTTCACAGTTATCACCCCAGCCAGCACCCAAAGTACAACAGCATTCTTGCTTTGTAACATTGGATGTTAATACATTATCGCAAAAGTTTGCATCATTTAGATTGTAGTAACATTCCTTCTTTTCAACTGCTGTTTCTTTGGTTTTGACCGGAACCTCTGTGAAAAAACAATAAAAGATACATCAACATGTATGCAGAGAAGCAGTCCACTCAAAAACAAATACCATGCTTAAACAAAAACCATCTAAAGCAATTCACAGTACCTATAACCTGATTCTAGGCCGATAAAATGGGTCAGTGTAAGTGGGCTTTGGGGGGTCAATGTAAATATAACATTGGGCTCTTTATCGGTTATGTTTCAGAAATCAGAATCAGACTAGGAAATTCCACTCTCACTCTCAACCACTACCTTTCCCCTATTCAGGAATCCTTTTAAAATAAGATCTGCTCATTTATTTTCATCTCCTGATTTAAAGTCCTGAAAGAGGTAGCTGTAGTGGAGGCTGGTCCATTAGTACAGGGGAGATAACCTTGAAAGAAAGAAAATAGGGAAAGAGTAGGTGGAAGGTCAAGTAAACTTGCTCTGTGGAAATGAGAAAAAGCCCAGAAAATGATGTTGGAGACACTCCTTGTAAAAAAAAACAGTACCAGGTTCTCAGGCCAGGAAGCCAATTCCTAGGTCTTTTACTTCTATTCTGATACACTGTCTGAGCCAGCAGCAGCTGGGAGCATCCTGCCTCTTCAATGTGCTCTCATACTCCTTCTGTTTGGCTTCAGTAAATCCCAAAAGCTCTGGACATCAGTTTCATAAATATCCTTAAACATGAACTTGTAAAATTTAATTTCAGCTTCATGCCAATGTGCTTACATCAGCCGAGTTGACAGAGAATCAAATTTAATAGCACATGAAGCCTGCTGAACCAAGGTAAGAGATTATTCTTAAATTCAGATAGAACAGGATGGGGACAGATCCAGAATTATTGGGCTCTTCCTACCAATTGACATTTCCCCCCAGAGTCCTACTAGTCCAGATGGGCTTTAATTTTTTTAATTTCAGTTACTACAGGAAAACTGTTCAGCAAAGCTTTTGATGGTTAGATCTGTTTTAGGAATGTGCCTAAAATGGTTTAATTTTGGTATTTTAAGCATGTTTAGATTATTTTTATTCTACATATTATTTGGTAGTTTGTAGCCCACTAGGAGTCTGCTGGGAGAGTATAAAAATAAAGTAAATAAATAATAAATCAGCAAACTGTTGATAACATTGGTATAATTAAATTGGGAGAGAAATAGCAATTATCATGGTTACGGGAACAGAATCATGTATGTTTTTTCAGTATCTATATATTTTTGCATTGTATAAAATCTAGAAAATTCATTATCATCACATTTGCATATGCTTGCTTGTTAGGAGATCCTAATAGTATTCCCTTCCTGTAATTACTCACTTGTTGCTCCATAATAGCTTGTTCAGAGTTTAAGAACACAATCTTCCAACCAACATTCAAATCCCAAGCTTCAAAATAAAACTCATGATTCCTAAATCAGACTGATATTTACTGTAACTAATATACAACTTTTTACATATTCTTAGCACATATTTATTTAGGCCTATTGCCTAAATGCTACACATTCATTTCTCTATTAAAGATTTAAAGTAAATGTGAAGTGTTTCACATACTAGAATACAAGAGTTCTGCATGGCAACAAAATTTCAGCACTATATTTTAGTTATTTTCAGTGTAGTTTCTATAATGCCCTAACTTTTCACAAGTCATACTATTTTTAAAGCTGCTGAAGATATAGGTACAGAAAAATCACATAGTTGCCTTCTTTAACAAATCTAATCAATTTCAGTGAGATTCAACATTTAAATAAGAAACTAACATTCTGGAATTTCATATCCTTAATAAATTCCTGATGCTGTATTTAGAGAAGAGAATGACAGATAATTTGACACAATTGTAATTTACATTAAAATTGTGTGGGCTTTTTTCTTTAAATGTGCATATGATTTTTGTACAGGGTAATTTATTAATATATTAGACACTTATTAACCTGTATCCTTAATAGTTTAACTTTCCTTGAAATATCTCATCGATGCGACTAACAATAATCCTATCACTACTAAACACCAGGTTGGTAAATCTGCTCCCATCCATGACTCGATTCTGGATGAGAGGCAGCCCATCTGGCATGTATAACCAAGACTTAGATGGCCCGGCGGGGGGGGGAGGAGGGGAATTTCACCCTCACCAGGGTTTTGTGTCTGGCATCAGCCCCAACCCAGAGTGGTGGGGAGGGGGTAGGGTGGCAACTAATAGCTTTCAGAGGCTCTACACTGCAGATAACCAGATGTAAGGCCCTTTGGTTGAAGTTGGGCTCTAGGGAGCAGCTGGGTTTGTTGCTGCTGTATTAACCTCCCTCTTGTATACCAACATCCCTGTCTGAGCTGCTAGGTCCTGTCACTGAGTTAACAGTTGAGTCCCAAAGGGTGATTGTTCTAGGGACTTTAATTTGCCCCCAGGTGATATAGAATCTGGGACAGTTAAGGAGTTCATAGCCATCACAGCATCCATGGACCTGACCTAGGATACTTAGGGCATGACACATATCATGGGCTGCACATTAGATCTGGTTTTTGTCTTGGGATAGTTGTGACATGACTTGGTAAGGGGGGACATAACTACATAATTATTAGTTCCTTTCCAAGTCAGATCACTCTATGATTACTTTTGTAGGTCCCAAGGACATGGAACCTATTTAGATTGATCCACCTCTGATGACTAATCATCCCTGATGGGTTCCATTCATGGATTTTTTATTTTTTTTTGAGGATCTGGTGGGTAGTTCAACTGAGGCCTTAGTTGCAGCCTGGAACAGGGGCATGATGAGGGCCTTAGTTTAGATTGCTCCTATACAGCTTCTCATTGTGTGTCTATCTTGAGATGTTCCTTGATTTTTCAAGCAGCCCCAGGAGATGAAATGCCAGAAGAGATGCCTAAAGCACCACTGAATACACTAAAAATGAATAGCCCTAAAGAGTTCTTCTCTGAGCTGCCCAAAACATTTAGGTGACTGTGATATATAAAACAGTCACATTAGGTAGTTCCATTTCATATACTGGCTACTACACATTTAGATATGTCTTTTTTGCTTTCAGAAGAATGCATGTTTGTATTAGAAGATGCAAATAAAGCAACACAGAGTTTTTCAAATTGAGCACACTTGCATCCTCATCTTGCTTTGATACTTTACAAGATCAGTAAGTGTGTCGCAGAGAAACTAATCCAGTCTGAGGTCTCTCTTCATCAGGTATGTATAGTTTTCCAAAATGTGCTGAATTTCATAAAGTGTATGGCCTTGTAGCATTATCCACTACCCAAGAACCAAATTAAGAATATTGCATGTCACATATGTGTAGCTAAACTAAATTGGTTTTTCCAAGGTGAGAGAAGGGTCTGTACATCACCAAAGCATACATTTTTGCTGAACAAAAACCATGTACTATAATGGACTAGAAAGAGGAGGAGGAGGAGGAGAGGGAGGAGGAGGAGACATAACTATGGTATAAACTTTTGCAGGCCAAATCTGTCTCAGTCACACAAAATGATCACCTGTATGGACATATATATTATGAATATCAAGAAGATTAAAATAAAAAACAAAATAACTGCTAGACTAAAATATCAGCCAATGGGAGAAATGAAAGTAGCCATGTTCCCATATTATGCAGGGCACAAATTAACACACTCTAATTTGTTGTTTTTGCTGCAACAGAATGTGAAACTTGTAGTAATTATTTAATCCTTTTTTATGCTATGCTTCAATTTCTCCTCCTTTTAGTGTCCTGATTTTTTAAATACAGTGGGGCAAAATTTAGTCAGCCACCAATTGTGCAAGTTCTCCCACTTAAAAAGACAAGAGAGGCCTGTAATTTTCATCATAGGTATACCTCAACTATGAGAGACAAAATGGGGGAAAAAATCCAGAAAATCACATTGTCTGATTTTTAAAGAATTTATTTGCAAATCATGGTGCAGAAAATCACATTGTCTGATTTTTAAAGAATTTATTTGCAAATCATGGTGCAGAAAATCACATTGTCTGATTTTTAAAGAATTTATTTGCAAATCATGGTGCAGAAAATCACATTGTCTGATTTTTAAAGAATTTATTTGCAAATCATGGTGCAGAAAATCACATTGTCTGATTTTTAAAGAATTTATTTGCAAATCATGGTGCAGAAAATCACATTGTCTGATTTTTAAAGAATTTATTTGCAAATCATGGTGCAGAAAATCACATTGTCTGATTTTTAAAGAATTTATTTGCAAATCATGGTGCAGAAAATCACATTGTCTGATTTTTAAAGAATTTATTTGCAAATCATGGTGCAGAAAATCACATTGTCTGATTTTTAAAGAATTTATTTGCAAATCATGGTGCAGAAAATCACATTGTCTGATTTTTAAAGAATTTATTTGCAAATCATGGTGCAGAAAATCACATTGTCTGATTTTTAAAGAATTTATTTGCAAATCATGGTGCAGAAAATCACATTGTCTGATTTTTAAAGAATTTATTTGCAAATCATGGTGAATAAATTCTTTAAAAATCAGACAATGTGATTTTCTGGTTTTTAAGTGGGAGAACTTGCACAACTGGTGGCTGACTAAATACTTTTTTGCCCCACTGTAGCTGTTTACACAGCTGTGTCTGAAAGTTAGACAGGCTTTGTGAAAGTTTGGAAACCGAATGAGACAAAAAACTTTTCTGGAAAAGAACAGAAATGTACACAGAGTAATCCAGTTTTAAATATTCATGAGTCTTCTTTGATATTATTAGCCTCTACATAGATGTAAGAAATGATTTACTTCATGCTGTAAATCCCTGAGGACATTTGAAAGATGTACTAATGCAACCTAGTTTGCAGAAATGGTTATTTTGGGCTAGGTTGAAAGAACAGTAATCAAGCTGTCCAGAATAAGTCTGACTGCAGGATCTTACTTGGGAAGGAGGCATGAAGTACAATTCTAAGTAAATATTTTAGTAAAATAGGAAGGCAATGAATATTCACAAAAATAAACCACAATAGCAAATCATTGGCTTGCAAGGCAGCAAAATGGAATATATTTAGGTTTTAATGCAGACACAAAAATTAAAATACTGTTGAAGAGCATGAAGACTATTACTAACAAGTGTTTAGATCTGGCAATCAAATTTAAAAAAATAAATTTCCATCCAGCTGTAACCTTATTGACCTTTGCTCTTCTGTTCTTGCCTTAAATGTTGTGTTATATTAAAGAGACTTGACCTTATTTTGCTAGTCTTCTGAGGTAACTTCAACAGTACAAATATATCAGCAGTCTCTGTTATGCTGGTCTCTTGAATGGAATTAAGCAGCCTTTCCAACTTCCAATTTCTGGACACCTTATTCTGTATTCCAGATTTAACCCCATCCCATAATACTGCTATAGCAAAAATAAATCTTTACTCCATAGACAACTGGGTAAACAAAAGGCAATGTTGTAATTCAGTATTCTCTGTAAGATCTCTCTCACCTGATACACACAAGTTCTACTGCTCTTTAATTCAGTAGATGACAAGAGCTACTGAAATTACAGGATTGGTCTAATCACTGCATGTAGCAGATTCCAGCTCCATTATTTCCTAGGATGACAAGGTAAGAGGCATACAAGGACTTCTCTAAAGGACATAGGGATGCTATACTTGATATAGAAAACTGGCAGAGCGATCCTACAAAGCACAGTTCTGGAGAATATGTGGCAAAATTGCTCAAGCTATGCTGTTTTGGGTTTCTATCACCCAAGGGTTTGCATATTGTTTCCAGTTGTAGGGAGGTATTGTGGAAAAGGAGAAATCCTGCCTCCAAGGCCTCCCTTGGTGGTATCCTTCTTTAGGCTGGAGCATTAAAGATGTGTGGAATAAAGGAGGCCTCTTCCAAGTAAACAATTCCCTCAGTGTCTGGGAGAGAAAGATCTGCAGTATCCTTTGGAACCTGCAATGTTCTCCCAGGAACAGTGAGATTATGCCATATTAATTTTGTCACACCGGATTTTTTCCTTATGTGAGAATGTTCAAATGTGCAATCCCTGGCAAAGAACTGCAATCTGACCTACATGCCTGCTTGAGAATATATAATTGAATATATTAGGATGACATGACAAAGATCTTGTACTGAAGGCCTTCTTCAACTGCTTTCTCTACTAGGCTTAGATCATTCATTTGTTAGACAGACAGCTTTTTCCACAGTATGGCTTCAGTTTTAGAATGACCTCCCAATTGAGGCTTGCCTAGCATGCAATTTCAGCACTATATACTTAGACAATTTTCACTATTTAATTTTAAACTTATCTTAGCCTTATTGGACTTATAATAGCCATATTGCAGCATTTCTATTTTCACTATTGTTATCAGTAATATATTATGTATTTTTTACTGTACTTTACCTGGAATTATGAATAGGATTAAGAGCAGTATGTATGTGTTTTAACAAAAGTAATTGCTTTAATGTAATGAAAGCCTCTCCTTTTGGCTTCTTTGAAACTTTCATAGTCAGTACATTAAAAGAGGTCATTTGAAGAACCTATTATTATTCTGGGGCTGAAAAAAGCTTTAAAGGATTATATGTTCTTATTTGGATTCTTCTGTCTTTTTGAAACCCGATAATGGTTTGTGCATCAATTTTTTGAAATGTGTAATCCTGAAATGTTTCAAGAATGCAAGCTAGAAAATGTAATAAATATGTGGGTAATGATATTTAATGAATGGATAATTATCAAAAACTTGCAGGAAATTTATGTAACTTTCAAAGATAACAATTTTTCAAGACATTCACAGTCATCAGTTCATTATTATCATTAAAATTTGAACATATGACAGAACAATTTGCTGAAATAATTGTTCCCAACTGGCACAATTGGCTTTTCTTTTATGTTATGTCAGATTGAAGATGTCTGTTGACCAACATTTACATTCAGAGTTATTGGGCATTACCTGTTGAGGAGCGGAACTGACACTGTCCACTCATTGGGTCATATTCCTGGTTTTCACTGGAACACAGACACAGGAAGGAGCCTTCCACATTTTCACAGAGAGCTTCCCCACATACCCCACTGAGCATTTCACATTCATTCACATCTGAAAAATAAAGTGTAACATTAACCCAAACTTCCTTCATTGACTTTTGTTTTGCTCTATTAACTTCAACAATGAAATCGCCATCATCATCATCATCATCATCATCATCATCATCATCATCATCATCATCATCAT